GAGAGGGTAGCCTAGCTCTGCCTCTGGTGGTGCCCCCTGTCCCCGTGTTCAGCAGCTTCTGCAAGCCCTTGAGGTCTCTGAGGGCACTGATAACGCGTCTCCTTCCTCAGGAATTTCCTGCTCTAGGGACAGTGCCTGCCTCAGCGAGTTCTCATAGTCCAGGGCCAGGAGCAGGAGGTGCCTGTGGACTGCGGCTTCCTGTCCGGGGAGGCAGGAAATCCCCAAGGAGCTTTAGAGGAGTCAAGTTCCTGGCCTGTGTCTCCCTTCAGTAGAGCAGGGGTGGGTAGGTGACTCTGGAGTAGGAATGAACACTCAAGACACACTTGATCTGAGGAGCCCTTGGGTACTGTAGGTGACTTATTTTCCCAGACCTGTCCATTGGGCCCCAGGAAGGGTCTGCATACCCCACAGAGCCCCCTCCCGACTCCCTGGAGCCAGGCACGGGCACCCTGCACTCTTGAGCCAGCAGATCATGGTGGGCCCTGAGCAAGGAGGGAACACCGTGTGGTGCTGGGCCTGCCCCCAGGGGCTGGTCTGCAGCCTGTGCCTCCTCCCTTCCCAGGTACCACTGGCCCCTGGGGCAGACGGGTCACTCCTTGTCGTAGTACCCCTGCAGATGCCTCTGCCAGAGCCAAGCCACATGTCTCCAGCTTGTGTCCCCATGCTTCCTGATCCCAGGTGAGGGTGAGGGTCAGCTAAATGACCATGTGAGGACAACTGGCACAGGGCAGCTTACAGCAGCCTGCTCAGCCCCTCAGGCCTTAGGCAGAAGTCCACTTTTCCTAGGCTTCCAGGTAGACATGTCCTGACTGGCCACTCCAGGCGCCGTGCTCCCAGACATCTGCCATCCTTGTGGCTAGCCAGAGGCCAGCAGGACGTGCATGTACATGTACACTGGGTGTGAGTGACAGATGTGTGTGGGTAACTGCGGAGTGTGGTGGTCAGTGCTGAGGGCTCCATGGAAGCACCGGACCCCCTGCCTTCCCAGTCTCAAGTGCCACAAGCTCTGTCACGGTGCCCGCGTTCCTAGGAGTCGTGTGCTGCCCTGCTCCTCCTCATGCCTCACGGTGTGGCTGTATTTGGAGAGGCGAATTTTCATAGAGGTGTCCGAGGTAAAATGAGGTCATCAGAGTGAGCCATAGGAGGACACCCAGAGAGGACGGAGTGCACGTGTGTCCAGGAGAAACCAACCCCACCCACATCTTGACCTTAGACTCCAGCCCCAGAGCCGTGAGGAGGGACTTTTCTGTCACTTTACCCCTGCCCTCGGCATTCACTGGGCAGCTGGAGGCCCTCCCAGTGTGGCTGCTGTTCTCTCTGGGACCCCATCCTGTTCACAGGCCCCCACCCCCACGTGGAATGATGCTGGCAGTCTCCTCCCTGAAGAGCTCCGCTCGGCTCCGGCCGTGTCACTGCTTCCTGGTCACAGCAGAGGTGGACCCGAGGCTCTCTGCACCAGGGTCTGAGGTGGAAGGCTGCATTCTCTGACGAGGAGGGATGGACAGGGAGGCACCAAGCTGCCCTCAGAGCACCCCTGCGGTCAGCACGAGCCCCACCCTAAGCCTGCCCTAAAGTGCCCACACAAGAGCCCCCCCATGCTGCCAGAACTTGAGGGCAACCACAGAGAGGCCTCTGTGGGCCGAGCTTCCTCAGGAGCCCACAGCAGCTCCCTGTCCAAGCTTGGGGTCTGGAAATAGGAGTGGAAATGTCCCTAGTGCTCTGCCAGACAATAGGAGGCCCTCTCCCAGGATTCTGTGCATGGACCATGTTCAGGCTGGTGGCTCCAGGAGGAAAATGAGGGAGACTGCCACTGACATCCACCAGACAGGGCCTGCACTCCTGCCAGGTGTTGCTGCAAGGATCCCAAGGCCAGGTGGGAAGGTAAGTGCCTTCTTGATTCATGTACAGGTGGCTGTGGTCACCTGGACTGGAAGAGGGGACAAGGGCTTCGTGCATCATAGTGTGGGGTACACCTGACTTTCTCCAACAGGCCAAGCTCTGCACACCCCTCCTCTGGGTGCCCTTGGGCTGGCTGGGCTGGCTTCTGTGAGCTCAGGTCAGGGATAATCTCTGCTGACCACACTTGTGCCCGAGGAGTTCGTCCAGCCCTGCCAGGCCCTTGTCCTTCTGGCTTCGGGCCTCTGCTATGGGCAGGGGTCTTAGCCTGTGCTCATGCCCCCTGCCTGGCAGACAGAGCACTGGGGCCCAGGGCAGGGAGAGGGGTGGTCTGTTTCCTAACAGCTTGCCATGGTGGCAGCTGAACCAGGTGTTCGGGACAGCGGCAGCTCAAGGCAGAGAATCTCTGCCACCACCAGTTGCTGTCACGCATGTGGGGATGTGCCGGTTAGGTCTGCGGTTACCTTCACCCCATCCAGGAGACCCCGGAGTTTGCTGAGTTGATGCTGCGAGCACACACTGCAAGGCTGAGGGCCGCAGGCACTCTGGTGCTGGACCTAGGGGGACCCTAGCAGTCACTGGAGTGGAGAAAGCAAGGGTGATGACCACTGGGCAACCAAGTGCTCAGGAGAAAAGGACACAGGCTGAAGGCCAGGCAGCAGACAGGCAGCATCTCTAGCTGTAATGGCCTGCCCTGTCCCAGATGTGGGAAGACTGGTACTTAGTGGCTTTGGCACCTGCAGCCCTGTCCCTGGCCAGGGTGCCTGCAGGGTTCTGGTCTCAGGTCTGGCCATATCACCTGCTAGAGCTGGGTCCTGGCCCACAGAAAGAGGCCATGCTCCCAGAAAGGTGTTCCCACAGTGACTGAGCTCCAAGCCCCAGTTTCTCTGCCCCCACCCCATGTCACCAGACTGGTGAGGTGTTCCCTAGGGTGACCAGGTCTTTTCCCCAGCAAGCGCCTAGCCACCTGAACTCTTCCAGAAAGGGAAGTGAGGCCTAGAGGGGGCAGGTGCAGGTCTCTGGCCCTGTGTGAGGACTGCCCACTGCAGCACCCTCTTCGGATGTCTGGAGGCCTGGGGAGCCACCCCAGAGTCCCTCCCCAGGGGCATCAGCCTCTGAGGGCTCGGCTCAGGTACAGTGGTCCTCCTCCCCAGGTGTTCCATTCTTGGCAGGAGATAACCCTAGGGAGGCGGAAACGCGGCAAGCTGCATGAGGCTCAGATATCTATTACATTTCCTTTTATCTGCTGCAGCAAGAGCTGCTCTCTGCATGTCAGGTCCCTTCATATGGAGGTGGAGTTGTGCGTCCTTGGAGCCATGGCGTGCACCAAGGCCTGGACACCAGAGGCTGCGGAGAAGCAAGGCTTGAGGGAAGAGTGCAAGAGGTTGCTGCTAACAGGCTCCCTAGCCCCTCAGGAGGCTAGAGCTGGAGGATAGCAAGTTCAAGACCAGCCTCGGCAATGTAGCAATATCGTGCCTCAGAAAATAAGAAGGGCTGGAGGTGTAGCTCAGTGGTAGAGTGCTTGCCTGGCATGCACAAGGTGCTGGATTCAGCTCACACTCACACATGCGTACACAAATGCACTCTAGGCTCTGGGGCTTCATGTGGGTAGAAGGCCTTTGTGTGCATAGCCAGGCCCCTCTGAGGGGTGAAGGGTCAGGCTTTTGCCTGGGGAGCTGTGTGACACAATTCAGAGCCTTCAGGGACCCAGTTCTACAGCCAGATCCCAGGCTGGGGGGACGCAGGTGCCCAGGCAGAGATGGAGCTCAGAGCTTCTCCAGCCGTCTGCTAAGCCGCTCCGCAGCAGTGTGAAGTCAGAATCGTGAGACTGAAAGTGGGGCCTGCTGGGAGGCACCTAATCACTCCCTGACGCCTGCGTCTGTGCCAAGAGCAGGTCTGCTCCCCACTCAGTCCCCGAGAGCCGGAGTCTTAGGCCTGGTGGGTGCTGGGCAGGTCCTGCTCTGTCTCTCCTGCCTACCCTCCAATCTGTGCACCTCGGACCTCCAGTCTCAGGGTCCTTCCTTTTACCTTCTGTTCCCCCCATGGTAGTGAGCACAGGCTGCGGCTGCGTGTAGGGGTTGGACACTGTGGCCCCTGGGAGGGTCCTGTGTGTGGATGGTCAGGGCTCCTGGGCAGGAGAGCTGTGTTTAGACATTGTCCCGGAGTCCGGCAATGCCCCTGCTCTTCCACAGCCAGGTGTGGTCCCAGCCACATGTGGGAGTCCTGAGGAGCATAGGCCTGTGTGAAATGGCAAGGGGCCAGGCTGGTCTGGACACAGGCTGGCCGTGCCTCTTCAGGGGGGGCCTCTTCATTCTCAATACTTTCCCTAATGTGGCTTTAAAACAGACTCAACTTTAAACCCTAGTCTTGAGGAGCCTGAATCTACACTGCAGGGCCAGGAGTCCACGTCCTAGTTGGCCGGGAGTCCAGCCCAGGCTGCAGCGTTCCAGTCTGGCTTCTGCAGTCTGGACAAGGTCCCAACACGTGCTCCTCGTGCTGGACCATGCCTCCTTGAATCCTGTAGTCAGGCTTTATCCATGGCTCCTAGACACAGCCAGACACAGGGTTGGTGTCCAGAGAGGGTAACAATCCCCAGGCCCTAATCCTTAGGACCCACAGATGCTGCCTCAAGTGGCACGTGGCACTCGGCAGGCACAATGGAGAGGAGGATCTGAGATGAGGTTGCCCTGGGTGATACAGGTGGACCCTGAACATGTCATGGGGGCTCTGGAGGGAGTCAGAGGGGTCTGCTGCAGAGGATATGGAGCCCTGGAGCCAGAACCTTGGTTTCACGTGTCTGGCCTTCAGTGTGGAGTGTGGACTTGTGTTGTTTTTAGTCAGTGGTAATTTGCTACAGTGGCCATGGCCCTGATGGTGGTATGGGGTCCAGCCCCACCTCGCCACTCTAGATGGCTGGATGAGAGAGGGTGGCCCCTCCCAGAGCCTCTGGTGTCCTGTTCTCTGTCCTCAGGACTGACGTCCTGGGTTGGCTACAACAGGACCTTGGGAGGGATTGCAGACACACTGGCCAAGAGAGCCCGAGCTGGCTGGGTCATGAAGGACACTCCAGGTTTATTCTCAGGCTGGAGATGGGGTAGGGGAGACACTGGACAGAGCGCCAGGCCAGGGCCTAAGTGGTGGGAGAGGGCAAGTCTTCAGGCCCCCGTTGCCCAAAGGTTGGTGAGGAGGCTGAGCAGGAGGGCTGTACCCACATTTTGGGGACATCCTAGGGGGCCACCTGCCCTGCCACCCTGGGGATGGCCAGCTCCACCACTCTGGGGATGTCCAGGCCTGCTGCCCTGGGGATGGCCAGTTCCACTATCTTGGGGGCTGCCTGCCTTGCCTCCCTGGGGATGGCCAGCCCCACCACTCCGGGGATGTCCAGGCCTGCTGCCCTGGGGATGGCCAGCCCCACCGCCCTGGGGATGGCCAGTTCCGCTGTCTTGGGGGCTGTCTGCCTCCCCTTCCTGGGGATGGCCAGCTCCGCCATCTTGGGAGCTGCCTGCCCTGCCTCCCTTGGGATGGCCAGCTCCACCGTCCTGTGGGCTGCCTGCCCTGCCACCCAGAGGATCCCGGATTTGGGGCCTCTGCCAGGGTGGGACATTGCACAGGGTGGACTGGCAGCAGGTCTTGGTCATCTGGGTTCCATGTACTGTCTTGGTAATAGGCTGGCACGTGTCCACACACCACATGGAGTAGGTGGTCAGGAAACCTGAGTCTGGGGGAAGGTGGAGAACAGGTGTTGAAGTAGGGGCACAGAGGTGGGCTCCTGCCCTTGGGGCCGCCAAGTGTGTGCCAGCTGCATCCACTCACCTGTGTTTCCATGGGTGATCAGCGTGATGCAGGAGGCGTGGCTAGGGCAGCTCTGCATCTGGGTGCAGTTCTCGCCCCTGTGCAGGGACTGGCAGGAGTAGCACTGCAGGCGCTCTGTGGGCGTGGCCTGCTCAGCAGGGCAGGGTCTGCAGGGCCTTCTCAAGCAAGCCCCATCCACCCTTCCCATGAGCTGCTCCCAGGGCCTACCCTGGGGGCCCCTTGCTGGGGGTTCTTGAAGAATGAGCCAGGATGAGGCATGGGGACAGCAGGGTGACCTTTCTGTGCCTCCATTGGTTATCTGCTCAGTGGCAGTGCCCCAGGCCCCAGGCCCCTGCCATTGGCCTTGAGGGCTTGGAGGTGCATCTGAGAACTCTGGGCAGGCAGCCTGGCACTTGAAGGCTACAGGACAGAGAGCAGCCTGGGGCAGGCGAGGGCCTCCTGGTGTGGGGCAAGCCCTGGCAGTGTGCTGCGCCTGCATTCTCTCTGCTCCACCCTCAGGGCGGAGGTGAGGACAGAGGCTCCCTCCAGCCAGGCAGGGGGACAGGGCCCTGGGCCGGGTGGTGAAGGGTACCTGTGCCAGGGGCCACGTTGGTCTCCTCGTCCTCCTCGTCCTCATCATCATAACCGTAGCTGTCCGGCCCCAAGTCCGTGTCATCAGCATCTTCCTCCTGTGCCTGTCCACACCCTGGCCGTGCAGGGACGCCTCTAAACCTCAGCTACCCAGGTACAGAGGACATACACTCGAGTGGAGTGCCCCCACCCCTGTCCACCCTTTTCTCCACGGCTTGTCTGGTTCACAGAAGAGGAAACAGACCAGAAGTGAGCAGGGTCCCCAAAGCCCTGTAGCGCTGGGGAAGAGGGGAACCTGGTCCCAGCTGGGGCCATGATTCTGGGGGCCCAGGACAGCCTTACCCACCTCCTTCTAGCCTGGGGACACCAGCCTCACCCCTCCTTCCCCCAAACCCATGCCTCGTCCCCAGACTGGGGGCCCATGGGGGTCCCAGGTCCAGGACTACACCACCCCCTCATGCCCGCACCTGATTGCCCGCACAGCAGCAGGGCCAGGAGGACAGCCCTGAGCACCTCCATCCTGCTGGGCGCTGCTGGATGCACTCTGCTGGTCCTCACTCAGGGCTCGGATCTGCGGTAAGTGGGACGAAGGGCATTGCCGGGGCTTCCGTGGCCCCCACCAGCTCCAGCTTCAAACAATGGGCCTTACGCTGTTTGAAGGCACCATGCCAAGGACATTGCTTTCCTCCAGGACCTCTGGGGCTGGAGGGGAAGGGGAAGTCACTGTGTCAGTCTTGGGGCATCCTGTCCACCTGTGCTGCACCTGCAGAAGGTGAGTGCAGCCTCAGGAGCCTCCTGGCCCCGCCATGGCTCCTGGGCCCTGGAGCCTCAGCTTTGCCATGCAGCCTGGGGCAGTGCCTGTCTGTCCCTTCCTCCTAGGGACCCTGGCCACACAGCCACAGGGGCTTGGGTGTCAGGCACCTCCACCCTAGTGGGCATCCCGCTTGGGGTGTCAGAGTGCTCAGGTGAGAACGCGACCGGTGTCCTCCAGCTTGGCCCCCTTCCCACCACCTTGCCTGTGCGCTGGCTGGGACCAGGGCCTCCGCTGTCCCTGCCCTCAGGCCTTTGCCCTCACTGTTCCTCTGCCTGGAATGCTGTTCCTGCTGTGCCCACGTGGCTGTGCCTGCCTCAGTGTCCCTGCTCACGTGTCCCCTCCCTAGATAGCCTTTGCCAGCCACCCCGTCTCAGCCCCATTCTTTCTGGGTGTCCTGCCATGGTGAGGCTGTTCAAGGCAAGTCCCCTGGTCTCCTTGCGCCTGAGCTACAGCTGGCTGGGGAGGACAAGGGGTCTCTTTGGGACTGCTGGGACACACCTTCCTTGGCCTTCTGCTGGGGCAGCCACCAGCCCCAGCCTCCCTGTGGGTGTCCCCACGCCTCTGGGGAGGTGCAGACTGCAGCATTGGGGCTTCCCCTTTCCTGAGGGGGCAGAGGCAGGTGCTGGACAGGAGCCCAGTAGGGGTCCAGCCGCCCACCTCCAGCAGCTTCCTGTAGGCACTCTGGTCTGGGCAGGCAGGATTGGATTCCAGGGAGGCCCTGTTAGGGAGCCAGGGCCCCCCACCTGCCACCCTCCATGGGCCCAGGCCAGCTGAGCAGCCTCCTCCTGAGCCCAGCTCCTCCTTGGCCATCCCAGGCCTAGGCTAGAGCTCTTGAGTCTTGCGGAGGGAAGACAGAAACATTGGACTCGCTAAAATGAGCCTTGGTTGTTTGACCCTCCACAACTCTAGGGGGCAGTGGCGTGGCCAGCTCTCTGTCCCGTAAGGACCTAGGCTGCAAGGACTCACCCTCCTGGTTCCGGAGGGCATACCCCTGTGTGCCCAGCACACACTGTTCCCCTGCCCCGGCCAGGAGAGGCTGTGGGTCTGGCTCAGGGCTCATGGGAGCTGACCCCTGGCCAGGCCAGGGCCTATGACCAATGATGGTGACGTGGCCCCCTGCCGTGACGCCTCCATGGCAGACTCCTGGCCCCCCCGCACTGCCCCCCAGTCTGAAGGTGGAAATGGCCAGTTCAGTGTGTGCGGAGCCCAGCTCACCTCCACCAGGCTTCCCTCAAGCTCCCCAGGGCAGGGCCCCTGAGGCTCTCGGGACCAGGGCTGAGGGCTTGTGGCCCTGAGGATGGTTCCTGCAGAACCTCTGACCCCTCCCAGCCCACACTTACCCCTTGGCCATACCCACGCCCCAAAGTGCCCTCAGGGACAGCCGGTCACCCAGCCCCCTACCTGCAGACTCCTGTGCCTCTGGGCCCTGACCTTGCCTGTGCTCCCTGGCTTGGTGGGGCTGGCCCCTGTGGCCACTGATCTTGGGTCCCTCCCCACGTGGGGCCCACGTGGGTCACACTGCCCCTTCTGGCAACAGCAGTCCTGGGCTGAGAGCTCCATGCTGGTTGTGGACAGGGGGCATTCAGCTATCACCCTCCTTCCAGCCGGAGATGGTGAGGTGGGGTGCAGACGGCAGGTCAGTGCTGGCGTTATGCTGAGGGGGTGCTGTGGGCCCTGCAGTTCTTGGGGGCTGTATGGCCTGACCTGGGCACCATGGCACCCATGCTGGCCTCTGGGGAGTATCAGACTCCTCTTCGGGGAAGGTGTTAGGAAGGTGTTCCAGAGAAGGCCACCATGGAGCTGGGGTGGGGCCAACAGTGCCACCAGGGCATGGGGCTGGTGTTGTGTTGGGAGAGGGACCTTGGCACAGAAGTGGGCTTCACATATGCCAGCCCTTGTGCCTGTGTCCCTGCTCTGGGCTCCCTCCACCCTCTGTAACTGACCTTCTCCCCTTCTGGCAGAGGCTAGACCCTCCTTCCCTGGGTGGGCAGGGACAGGGCGAACCCTCAGAAATGAGTGGTGGACACAGCTAGTAAGGCACAGGCTCCTTTCCTCCCTGGAACGAGCACTCCGGAAGCAGCTGTGGGTGGGAGGACCAAGGACTCATTCCTTCACCCCACCCATACCCAGGAGCCCACGAGGGGACACATCACAGTCTCTGAGAACCTTGGTATTCCCATCCTGGACGTGCACCTTCTTCTCTTGTCCTCCTCCAGCTGCCACTTCTCCCTCCATATGGTCCCATGCCCAGGAGCCCTCAGGGTCCATTAGACACCCTTGGCGACCTGGAGACTCTTCCTTCAGCCCTGACCCCCACAGTGGAGGTGGCTAATACCCATCTGTGGTTGGCACAGCAGGCTGCAAAGTCCTTCACAGCCCATCCTCCCTGAGAAGGCCCGTCCCCAGGCTTGAGGGCCCAAGGCTCGGCCTTCTCTACTCCCACTGCTGTGTGGGGTACTGATGTCTCCCCTGGGAAATGACGAGCCAGGTAGACTTTGTGCGTGTCATTTATTTTATCTCAGTCGACATTCATCCCCCTCACCTGACAGATAGGAAAGACTCGGAACATAATTATGCCGCTTCTCTTGTCCTAATTCAGAAAAGCAGGAAGTGGATAGGTGAGGGGCTCCTCGAGCGTCCACAGAAGCCTGGCCCCTGCCTGCCCAAGCTCACGGCCAGCAGGAGGCGGCACGGGGCGACTCCCAAGTCCCTGGAAGGCAAGGAGCGGATTTGCAGAGCCTGGCCCTGCCTCCGCAAGGTGGCATATGATGTGCATTGGCTGCAGGGCCACCAGCTGCTGCAGAACCCAAAGTAAGGGGCCCAGAGAGCAGGAGCCCCTTGCCCACCATGGGTGGTCCCCAGCCTTGGCCACACAAAACCCCATGGCAGTGTCTGCACATCAGAGGGTGGGAAGCTGGGTGGGCATGGCCACAAGGGCTCCTGGCAGGTTGAGAAACCTCAGGTGGGTTCCCCTGGGGAGGGTAGGAGAGGAGGCACCACCCCTGCAGGAGGAGGCAAGAGGGTGTGGGGTTCCTGCTCTGCACCCGGTGGTGAGGGAGCTGCCCATCCTCACCAAGCGCTTGTGTTGGAGTCTTAGATAACCATGGGAAGGGCAGCCTCGTCGAACCAAGAGGAGCTAGTCCTGCTGCTCCTTCAGGGTCCAGGATCTGGGGTGGGAGAGGGGAGGTGGGGCTTGCAGGGCCTGACCTGTGGGCCAGTCCTGGATGGTAAGACTCCCTGGGTCATGCAGGTCAGGACCAGGCTGAAAGCCCTCGCCCTGGAGCCATGGGCTTCAGGGGAGCTGCAGCCAGCTGTGGGGGCAGCACTCGGCCCAGCCTTGGGCCCTGGTGTGTGCACCTCGACCCTTGAGTACATTCTGGAAGGAGGAGTGGGGAGCCAGAGTATAGGCCTCAGCTGCTATTCCTGGGTGGGGGGTGCCTGGCCCAGCCTCACTCCCCTCTCCAGGAGCAGTGGTGGCCACGAGCAGCCCTGTCTCTGCCCCCTTGGAGCTTCCTCAGCCTACACAGGCTTCTGCTGTGCCCAGTGGCACTGACTGGCGGAGCTGGCCCTCAGCTGAAGGGCTCGGGGCTCTGCTGCATTCCTGGGCCAGACTTGCTTTCCTGAGCAAACAGAGTTTTGGCAGCTTGATACCCACAAGCCTTAGGCAAGTCACATTTAACAGAGTTTCCTGGAGCAAAGGACGATTCGCACTTGGGCAGCCTTCTGAACAGGAACAGGCTCCGAGCTGGGCCACATGTGGGCCTGCAGTGCTATGCACAGAGGAAGGAGGGGGTGCAGACCTCAGCGGCCACAGCTAGGGGCGTGCCTGGAGCTCCTCGAGCCCCAGGCCACACAGCATGGGACTCAGTGCCCAGGTGTGCTTAGGCCATGTGCAGTTTGGGTTAATGCCACAGATGAGGAAGCCCAGGGAGCTACCCCAGCGCAGATGCCCCCCCCCCCACCTCCATGCACCCTCCAGCTCCCCAGCCAGGACTGTGCCTCCTGGGCTCTACCTGGGGGACAGACTTGGTGACATTTCACTCATGGGACTCGATAGCAATAACAAGGCTACGGGACAGAAGAGGTTGGCCAACAGAGGCCCAGGAGGAGGGCAGAGGGCAAGCATATGGATCCACCCTGTGGTCAGGCACAGCCTCAGCCACTGCCACAGCCATCGGCAGAGGTTGGCGAGTCAAGTCCACACCTGCAGCAGGTACAGAGTCTGTGCATCACTGCCATGGGCCCCCTTCTAACTGTCCTCACCAGATCCCCTAAGCTGGCCTAGGATGCTGCTGTTGCCCCAGAGCAGCCCCAGACCCTGCCACCCTCAGACTGAATGTGGCCAGGGCAAGGCTGACACCTGCAGGCACATTGTGTCCCCTGCTCAGAGCAGGACCCCACCGGACGCTGGACGTTGGGTGGGGGACTCCCCGGGGGAGCAGGTGGCTGTGTGGCTGGGTGTGTTGCCAGTGGGTAAAGGCAGGTTGGGTGGTGTCACTGTGCTCCTGCCCCAGGGAACTGCTGGCCCCCAGAGCCCTGGAACTTCCTCCAGAGCCCTTTCCAAGGAGGCCCTCCTGGGCCAGACAGGAAGGACCTCAGCTGGGTCACAACCCATCAAGGACAAATGGTCCTTGAGCTTGCATATATGAGAGTGAGCTGTGGGAGGGATTGGGCAGGGCCACCCTTAGGGGCAGAACTGGTGCTT